TTTGGGAGTTAACTCACAACCAGAATAAAGGAGTTGGTCACAAAGTCCTGAAGCGGTGGGTCACGTTCCAACACATTTCTTAGGAAAGCTCTGCCTTGATCAAACCAGCATCCAAGACCACAAGGTAGTGAAGAGAAGAGAGCACATGTATGTACATCCCAGGTCTTAAGAGTTCCTGGAGGCCACGCCCAAGAGGCAAGTACCTAGCAGCTACCTGCTGCCTCATCAGGGGTGGTGCTTCAGGGCATGGCACAAACAACCACCTGCTACAAGTGCTACCCTAACAAAGGGAAAATATTTTTAAATATTCATTCACCAGGTTTCTGGAAAAATATGAACTTTCTTTTTGTGTTCTTTGTCCTCTTTTTTTGCTTCTAAATTTCTTATAGACTTCATCCCCCGATTGTGATTTAACTGTTATTTTCACAGCAACCACAGTAATTTATATAATTTGCTAATCTAAAATAAGTTTATTAGAATGCCAAATTTAATATTTTAATGATATTTAGTACTCAGAACAAAACTCTTTGCAATACCTACCATTAACACATTTTACAAGTTGGATAAGGATGCTGAAAGAATTTGTTTAACATCACACAAATAGATAAAAAGGAAACCAGAATTGCAATCCTATGTTGGTGGCACTAAAATCTATGTGCTTAATTTTCAAGATATATTGCCTTCCTAGGGTTACAGTTCCCTATTAAACTCAATATGCTCAATACCATTTTATAGAAACAGAAATTTGTTTCAAAGGAAAGGATTGGGGAATTTTCTTAGAAAATAGAATTTTTATGCCAATGCTACCATTCTTTTCACACTTATAAAATGTTTGATTTAAGCCGGGTAGTGGTGGCGCACACCTTTAATCCCAGCACTCGGGAGGCAGAGGCAGGAGGATCTCTGTGAATTCGAGGCCAGCCTGGGCTAACAAGTGAGTTCAAGGAAAGGCGCAAAGCTACACAGAGAAACCCTGTCTCGAAAAACCAATAAATAAATAAATAAATAAATAAATAAATAAATAAATAAATAAATAAATATAAAATGTTTGATTTATTTAGACTTTACCTATTCCTTAACTCGGTAGTTTTGAAAATATGTTCATTCATTGGTGTCTATAGACAATACATTCTTTGTAAGTTTCCATTGGCCTCTTATTTTCTGAACTTTGACTTGTTATACATATCTCCATGACTGTTGCACCCTACAAAAAGTAGCTTCTTTTAATAATGAGGAGAGCAACCAAGGTCTATGGATATAAAAATAAATATTTGAGAAGCCAATTTTCCATCATGACCATTTAGGAAAATGAAAATAGCAGGTTCCACCAAAAGGTGTATGACCACTTCAGCTGTGGGCTTTTGATCAGCATTACAGTATCAGGCATGAAATTTCCTCCTGTGGAGCATACCTCAAATCTCATTAAAAAAAAAAAGAGGTGAGTTATCCTATGACTCATTCATGCCACTATAGCATCAATAGGCAGATCTTGCTTGTTAGGGCATTATGGCAGCATTCAGAGCCTGGTACTAGATAGACTACTAATGTATTTTCTCCTCCAGCATTCTGAATAGCATCTTCTGTCACTGTGTAAACTAGCTAACAGAAGGGAAGTTTCCTAATTGATTTGACACTGATGTTTCTATGTCGTACAGCCAAATGGGACATCTATATTAATCCCACCACACCAAGACTCAGGAAACACTTTCAGAAGATGAAACAGAAAAGATATATGCACCAGAGCATGGGGAGAAATGCCGTGAAAATGCTTTATTCTGGACATTACGTGGCTATCACAATCATGAATTCATAGCACCTGTGTTTACCTGCACAATTTCAAGCCAGCACAGATGAAGTACGTAATCTCCAGGCTTCGTATCAAAATGAAGATATATTGGCAGTGGATAGTTGCTGTGGGAGGGAGAATAATTTGGTTTTTTAAATGTGGCCACCTGTAAGTTTCCTTTGCTCTAGTGGATGACTTCACACTCATGCAGTTTGACAAGCATCAACTGGGTTTAGTAGGTTAGCCCCCTGTAAAAAGTCATGAAGTTGGGATGAGGGTCATGCTGGGAGGATATGGAGAGAGTCAGAGGGGAGAAATAGGTGATAGATATAATCAAATTTTAACATATACATGAATGAAATTTTCACAAATAGAGGAAGAATGAACACTTCCATTAGCAAAAAACATTAATTTTATTTCCTTCCTTCCTTCCTTCCTTCCTTCCTTCCTTCTTTCTTTCTTTCTTTCTTTCTTTCTTTCTTTCTTTCGTTTTTTTCGAGACAGGGTTTCTCTGTGTAGCTTTGCGCCTTTCCTGGATCTCGCTCGGTAGACCAGGCTGGCTTTGAACTCATAGAGATCCTCCTGGCTCTGCCTCCCGAGTGCTGGGATTAAAGGTGTGCACCACAACTGCCCGGCTAATTTAATTTCTTTATTTCTCAGTTCATTGATGCTAAATAGGAATCTTTGTTATTTATTTATTATTTGGATTTATTTATATTATTTATATGTGTTTGGCCTGCATTATGTATTTATGTGCACCATGTGCATGCCTGGTACCCATAGAATTTCAGATGGTTGTGAACTTCCACATAAGGACTGGTAACCAAATCCATGTCTTCTACAAGAGAAGTAAGTGCTCTTAATTACTGAGCCATCTCTACCCCTCCCACACACAAAGAGTTGTCTTTTGTTTAAATCTTTGCAATGCCTTTGGTAGGTTAATAAGTTCTTGAAGTTTTGAGTAATGAGCATGTATTGTCAATTTCACTTGAAACTTGTTTATCTTGCAGTACTTTGTCAACAAGTGTAACCTACATACCTTGGCTAACTGCATAACCTCTATGAACCTCTGGTATGTGTTTGATTAGACTGAAAGAAACTCAGATATCTGTATCCAGTTAAGAGACCACTGATCTTCCTTGTAAAGATGCAAGATATGGTGTTTCCACAATAATGCCTAATATACATGCTATTCATCATGCTAGATTATTGTGAAGATGTTGGTACTTTTCTAATAGGTATTTGTTCAGTTTCAGAATATAACATCTTAGATTTGGCTTCAAAGTTCTACAGAAAGATTTCATAGGCATCCTATTATCCACATGTTTGTAAATATAGTCAATGATGTCCCTGATAAATTTGTGGTTTCTGATTTTGTGAAGATTAGGTGAATACAGCCCTTTGATTTTTTTTCAAAAAAGTATCTGCAATTGGATGGTTTTGTCTGAGTAGTAGCCAATATAAGCACTAGGGCATTTAAAGAATAGGAAAATAAGAATGTGAAAATGCTTCTTGATTATTATCATAGTTTGGCTTTAATGAGGTCACTCCTACCATGATATATATCTGTCTGCTTTAACAATGATTTGAAAGTGAGAAATCACAAGACAGAAATTATTCCAAAACCTTGTGACACTTTGGCTCTCATCAAGTTTAGAGAACTGCAACTCCTATAAGTAAATGCAAAGATGGAATATACACCAGAAAACAACAAGCTGAAATTCAAATATATTTTCTTCTAGAAAGCATTATAATTAAAAGGTTACTATGTTTTGTGTCAAATTTTATGGATATTTAATAAAAAGCAGAAATTTTATTTTTAATAAACAAGGCCAATTGAGATGTGACCAGGAAAGATTCTCACAAAGTGATTACATCCAAAGCCTAGTACAGATTTTTTTAAAAAGGTGCACACAAATATGTGTTCACTCACCAATACACATACATTTTCTACTTGGAATTTCCAAATTGATAGTCACAGGAAATCATAGAATACCAGAATTTAAATAGGCCACTTATATATCTGTCAATCATATATGTAATAGTTCCAACAAGACATCAAATATTTCTACAAATAGACTACTATAATGTTTTCTTTTATTGCTGAAGAGCTTACAGTGGTCATTTGGTGAGGGCAAACACAACTTTGAGGATCAACTTGTAAGTATATCTGTAAAACTGTGCTGCATTATCTTAAGGTAACAGAAAAATATTCTCAAAAATTTCAGTCAATAACAATAATTTATACAGCAGAAAATATGCAGCTAAGACAAAGATCAAAGAATGAGCATATATACACATAGCGGGATTTTCTTAGGGCTTCATGGCTTATGAGAAAGATGTATTTCCTACTTTTGCTTTTTTATGAGGGTAAAGACCTCTGATTCACCTGGGCATGTTTGTGTCAGCACAAATGCAAAGGAAACAAATAATGAACAACTTAATGGCTTTAAAAATCATGCCCCAAAACCATATGGTCAATCCTGACTTCAATTTTAACAGGTTCATGGAAGGAAGAGAAATGGTGAATCATGACTGACTTTAGCTACTGCAACACTGCTTACATGACCATGTGGAAATTTTATTCTTCAAGTGTAAAATTTTCTAAAATATCTATATGTGTGTGTTATAAGCATTAATTTAATAATATTCATAAAATGTCTCTAATTATCTCTGGTCTAGAAGCTCCTTAAGCATTGTATTTCTACCCCTGTGAACTTTTCCTCCATTATGTTCTAGAAAGTAAACTTAATACATCTTCCATAGATCAACCCTGTAAATATTTATAAATAGCAATTCTGTTTGTGCATACTTATCTTCCACTTCATGATAATTTTTTAGTCCCTTCAACTATCCCCAAAATTTCACGTATTTGAATACTCTCAACACCTTCAACCCTCCCTATAACTTTTGTCTCTTCTTCCTCTGAAAACAGTGACCATATTTAAGTACAGAGTCACTGATCTCATCTTGTCAGCATAGTTTATACCTGGAGCCAGAAGAAACTTCAGTCTATACACCATGGTTCTCTGTATGCAGTAAAGGACACTGGGGAAATGATGTTCTAACAATTAAAGGATATCATCGTTGGAAAGAATCGAAATTCATTTAATCCAGTGGTTTATAACTCAACAATATCAGAACAATTTGTACAGGTGTTTTATTTGTTTGTTTGTTTGTTTGTTTGTTTTTATGAAGTGTATTAATTGTCAGAGAAAGGCATGGACACAGTCCCTCACTGCAACAGATTTGCAGTGGAAGTCCCTCACATTCAGGGAAATTGCAAGCATCAACATGTCTAGTATAGTGGATAAGTTTAATACCAGGAAAACTGCCTTCTTGATTATTTTATCTTCCCTTCCAGGTAAGTATTGTGTATATATATTTACAGGCACTGCTCCATCACTTCCAAGGTCTTGATTAGAAACTAGTACATGGATAAGATTTAGAAGAACTCACAGTTCTATCATTTTTTTCATTGTTCTGGGGTTGAAATTCAAGACCTCCTATACTGTGCAATTGCTCTACCACTGAGCTAAACCACAGGCCTTCACACAACCTGCCCACTGCCTTTTTAAAAAACTGATTCTCAAGTTTTCACTACTATTTACCACTGGCTGGCCTAGAACTTGCTGTGTATGCCAGCCTGGACTTGAACTCATGGAGATTCACCTGAAAATGCCTAAAGGGTGCTGGGTTTACAGGTGTGTGCCATCACACTCAGCTTCTTATTTTCTTGACACTTAATCATATGTTCTTTCCAAATTTTCATATATGGAGCAAATATATGCTTCATAGCACCTGGAGTGTTTGTTAAAAATTGTTTTGAGAAACTTCTTAACTAAAATAGAATTTATGGGAGTTAGTCTCAGAAGTCTGAACTGTTAACAATCTAATTTTAATGAAAAGATTAAAAGGATACAGCTATTATAGTATATGTAGAAAACAGAACACATTCTGAGTTAGGTTTGATGTGCTGCTAGGGTTGAGAACCTCTGATGTGAATGTTATCTTTCTACTTAATATACAGGACTATCAATTATCCTATCAAGAAATTTCATACTAAATATCACTTTGAGTCTAGTTAGGAACATATACAGTAGAAACATAGACTATGTTTTAATATACAGTAAATATATTTTTTCAACTTATAAGCTTAATCCTTAAAGTTTAAATTCTATTTCTATTTAATGTAATAAAACAATGAAGTCACATAACTTACATTGTCTATAAAAACATAATAATATAAGATTGCTAAATAATATCAAAATACATTACAGCAGTATAGTGGACACAAATAAAATCAATAAATAAATGATTAAATAAATAATTGATTAAATAAATGTTCTCTAATTATAAGTTGCAGTCCTGTAATTTGTTGACTTTGCTTAAGTTAATTTAAAAATTTGAAACAATTCAATGGAGTTTTAATAGGTCCTGTAAATAAATTAACCATATGAATTTAAAATGTACTTGAAAATATAAAGGGCCCAGTGTAATTGACACAATTTTGATAAAAATAACACACTGGAAGTTCAGTTCCAGAATTATTTTAAAGTAGGTATAATTCAGGCACAAAGATGTAGAGTATAGCTTAGATATACAGATTTCAAGCTGTGTAGGAGAACTAGAAAGAGACACATACACAGTGTCAGCAGCTGTTTCTTGAAAATATTCAGGGGAAGGAATGAAAAGATGGAAAATACCAGTTGTTTAAACAAATATATAAAATGACTGCAATTTATATATTGCTTGTGAGCACAGCCTGTTGGCCCTAAAGTTGACATGGGTAGCTGTTTGGCAGTTTCTAATAAAATGTACAATTACTGACTATATGATCCTATAATCCTATTCTTTTTTTTTTTTTTTTTTTTGGTTTTTCGAGACAGGGTTTCTCTGTGTAGCTTTGCGACTTTCCTGGGACTCACTTGGTAGCCCAGGCTGGCCTCGACCTCACAGAGATCCGCCTGGTTCTGGCTCCCGAGTGCTGGGATTAAAGGCGTGCGCCACCACCGCCCGGCTTTATAATCCTATTCTTATTTGCTATCAAAGAAATTACAATATCAATTTGTCCATATTTTCCTTTTCCTGACTGGAATTTCCTTCAAATCTTTGAGACTGGGTGCTTTACGTCCCTAGTATTTTCACCCTTCCATCATTTCATTGAAAGCAGCTCAGCTTCATGTAGAAACACAATAAAGACATCTTTCTATGTCTTTCCCTTATGTCTTCTTAGCTGTTCACAAAAAGGCGGAATCATACATGCCCAAAGTTAAAAAGCATTTGAAACTCTGAGTAGTTTGGACTTCCTAAAGAATGTTTTACATGACATAAGACTCTTTAAAAAATCACTACAATGGAAAAATTAATTGGAAACCATAGAACACTGATTCTTTTTTATTGAAAATTTTTCATAGAATATATTCTGATCACGTTTTTTTCTATACCCTACCTCCTCTCAGATCCCACTGCACATCCACCCAATTCCATGCCTTTTCTTTTTCTCTCTCTCTTTAGGAAACAGACAAACAAAACACTAAGCAACCCTCTGAAAAAATTCAAGAATATCCTCCCTTCCTCCCTATCTGCACCCCATGTCTTGGACACACACACACACACACACACACACACTAAATTGGAAACCATTATATACAAGCAGAAGACAAATAAAACAAACCAAACTGCCTAAACAAAGCAATATAAAACAAATATCTACAAAAATACCATTGAGTTTGTTATGTGTTGGCCATTTACTACTGGGCATGGGGACTACCATAAAGTGTGGTTAATATACCAATGAGACATCATAGGAGAAAACTAATTTTTCCTTAGCAAGACAGTACAAATTGCAGATGTCTTGATTATGGGTGGGAAACTATGTCCACTTCTCTCTCATAGCACTGGGACCTGTCTGGCGTGAACCAGTGAAGGCCCTGTGTATGAAGCCACAGTTTCTCTGGGTTTACATGAACATCAGTCCTGTTGTATCTGGAAGGCTATATTTCCCAGATGGAGTATCCATCCCCATCTGCCTCTTAAAATCTTTCCACTTCCTTTTCTGCATAGTTCCATGATCCCTGAAAAGGGGTGGGGGTGTTAAAGAATACATCCTATTTAAGATTTAGTGTTCCAAAACCCCTCACTTTCAAGACATATATTTTATTAGAAATATTCCATCGAATTTAGTATATGATGATCTCATGCAGCTCAACAGCAACCCATCCAAGGAAAACAAAACCCAAGTAAAGCTATAACTGTTAAATTTCAAAATGGTTTAAGGACTATTGATATTTCTCCAAGTTAGACATGCAAATGGCCAGCAAGTACATGAAAAGAAGCTCAGCACCATTAATCATCAAGGAAATGGAAGTAAAATCCAAACAAAGAAATCTTCATACCTATTAAGAAAGCCACTATACAAATAAAATGCCAGAATTGGTGAGACTGTGGTTATTGGAATCCCTGTAGTAACATTCAGTGGTGCATTTGCCAGTTCAATTCTTCAAAAATAAAACTAAAAAATACTGTACGGCTTTCCATTACAAATTCTGGGCATTTGTGCCAGATTGAAAGTTCTATATCAGAGATATACTCCTGTTTTCCTTACATTATTATTCATTTTATTTGTACTGAAATGTGATTTTCATTGTATGTTAATAAATAAAGTTGCCTGGGGGTCAGAGCTATTAGAGCTATAGCAAGAGAGTGGTGGTGGTGGCGCATGCCTTTAATCCCAGCACTTGGTAGAAGAGCTAGGTAGATCTCTGTGTGTTCAGGGATACAGCCAGCATTGGAAACATACGCCTTTAAGACCTGGAGGGCGGTACTTACAGGCAGTGACGAAGCAGTCATGTGTTTGGGTTTACAACCAATGAGAAAGCAGAACAGAAAGACTATTTAAAGACAGACACACAGGAAGTAGCTCTCCTTCGGGGAGGTAGGATCACTGCAGGAGGTAAGATTTTAGCTCTGAGCTCTGACCTCTCAGCTTTCTCTTTTACATTGTTTCTGTGTTTCTTATTTTAATAAGACGGTTGGTTACATCTACATCAAACAAGGCGTGGAAACATCTGTTTTTTCACTTTTTGGCTAAGAAAACAGGGTAGATAGAAACAATCTAATTTCAATGAGGAGATTAAAAGGATACAGGTATTACACTAATAGAACACTATTAACATTAAGTAAAAAGGAGACAATTGTTAGGGCCTGTGAGTCATCCTACAAAAGACCACCATTCTCATGTGCAATCAACAATAATGTTTATTTCTTGAGAGTAAAAAAAATCCAGTATGCAGGGGATTCTTGTATATTAATACAAATGTAACATTAATTTTCTGTACTTGCTTAAGACACTTTATATATTGATATAAATACAAAATTATATTTGTCATATTATACATATGTTCCTACTCCTCTTTAAAATATTTTTGTGTCTTGATACAGATGTGAATTTGTACTTGTAATACTGTATGTATATTCTACTTCTGTTTAGGATGTTTTGTATATTGATAGAAATTAAGGGTATTGTTTTCATATTGCACTATACATTTCTACCTCTGATTAAGATATTTTTGTATATTGTCACAACTTCAAGGTCATTATCCCACTACTGTACATCTGTGTACAGAGTGTTCAATTTTATAATGTGAAGCCTTAGTCTTTAAGTTCTATAGGTTGATAAGAGTTACAGGTTAATAATTACCTATGCTTATCATACTTATAGCTATGTTAGTTAGGTTTTTTAGATATACAGAGATATTTGCTATATGGATAGGTAGTCATCAAATTTTTCATAGGCCCAGAGAATATGGCATTAAATGTTTTAAAAACTTAGAATTCTGTTGACATTAGACACAATTGTTCCTGGCTGCACTGATCTATTCCTGAGAGGATGTTGGGCCTTGAAGACACTCCATATGGAATTTGTCTTCTTCTTGGCAAATATGGCCTGTTGGGAGAACTTCCTTTGCCTCAACTGCTGACAGTAAGCTTGCTGTCCAATCCAAACAAGCAGGAAAAAGGAAAAAGCGACTGCCGAACCTTGCCAAGACAGGGTAGGATAGTCTTTCAACATTTCCTGCTATGTCAGATATTCTAGGCCTATAGCCAATAATGGTTGCCTCAACATTGCAGAGGTTGATGATATCTGTTTACTTTGTTTTGTATCCATGAGTGTATTTGCTGTGGGATGGTCTGTTTGCCAAATGTGTTGCTCTGATTGGTCAATAAATAAAACACTGATTGGCCAGTGGCCAGGGAGAAAGTATAGGCGGGACTAACAGAGAGGAGAATTGAGAGAACCGGAAGGCAGAGGGAGCCACTGCCAGCCACTGCCATGACAAGCAGCATGTGAAAATGCTGGTAAGCCACGA